AGAATTGACAAAGCTTTCTGGCTAGGTTGTCTCTATCAATGTAATCATGTCTTATTTTTCCATGTGTTCCTCTAAGATTTTTTCCCCCATCATGTCTCAAAGTAAAAAAAAAAAAAAAAGGAAAAAAAAGCACACCAGAATTTTCCATTCTAACATCATCATCATCATCATCATCATCATCAATTATTGCTATTATTATGATGCTGAGGAACCCTGGTGGCATGGTAGGTTAACTATTGGGCTGCTGGCTGGAAGATAAGAGCTCTGGTGGGACAGTCCACACGAAGTCGCTCTGCTAACTCAAAGACTGCACCTCTATGGGGGTTCAAATCCTCTTCCTGCTTGACTTGCAGCTTCAGAGACTCCAGAGAGGGTCAGCCGAATCACTTCTCTCTCAGCAGGAGAGCGAGCGAGGAGAGAGGAGAGAGGAGAAAGAGGAAGAGAGAAGAAGAGAGAAGAAAGGAGAAAAGAGAAGAGCAAAGAGAGAAGAGAGAGAGAAAGATAAAGAGAGAGAATGCGAAGGTTGGCAGTTCAGATCTGCAGGCTGCTGCATACGGGTGGCCTCTTTCTGGTGGTATTTAGAGCGCCAGAACCCACTGGAGGCTGCCAATTTGGTTTTTAAATGGGTACAGGGTGGGGCTCTTCATCGATAGAAAAGGGTGGAGTGGTGAGGAGTATCTTGCTTTACAGAAGCAGTGGGAGAAAGGCAGTGGTCTGGAAGCTTGTTTTCCCTGGTGTTCATCTTGCTCGGCTGGGTTTGGCCTTGGTTTCAACAACTTGTTGCCATTGAGTTGGAACCAACTCACAGCTAATAATGCATTGGGCTTTGCAAGGCTGTAAACTGCATGGGAGAGCAGCCATTTCCCCTTTGGAAACATGACCCACTAGAGAGGTGTGACCTGTGGGTTAGGAGTGCAGCTCTTTGTGGACCAAGCCATAAAAATTCCCTTGGCTGGGGTTTTTGTCATTGTTAGGTGTTGTTGAGCCGCTTGCGGCTCATAGCGACCCTGTGTACAACAGCTCTGAACCCTGCTCTATCCTGAGCCAAACTTACTGTCCCTGGCACACCTACCCCCATTACCCCAGTCACTCAATCAATCCATCTCATTGAAGGTCTTCCTCTCTTACCCTGCCTCTCTACCCTTCCAAGCATGATGTCGCTCTCCAAGGACTGGCCCTTCCTTGTAACATGCCCAAAGTATGTTAGACAAAGCTTCAGAATCCTTGTCTCCAAGGAGAAGCTTGGTTTCACCTGCTCTAGGAAAGACCTGTTTGTTCTCCTGGCAGTATCATGGTATATTCAATACTCTTCTCCAGCACCACAGCTCAAAGGCAACAATTCTTTTTCTATCATTCCTAGTCATTGTCCAGCTTTCCGATGCATAGCAAGTAACTGTGAAGACCATAGGCTGATGACGCACATCTTAGTCTCCAGGCTCACATTGTTACTCTTTAGTACTCCGGAGAGGTCCCTGACAGCAGACTTCCCCAATGCAATTAGTCTTTTCATTTTCTGGCTGCTAGTACCAAGAGTGTTGATTCTGGAGCCAAGCAAACTGAAGCTGTTAACAATCTCAGTCTCTTCACCACCTATCATGATGCTGCCAATCAGTCCAGTGGTGAGAATCTTTGTTTTCTTGATATTGTGCTTCCATCCATATTTAAGGTTGCAGTCCTTGACCTTCTGCAGCAAGAGCTTCAGGTCCTCCTTAGTTCCAGCAAGCAAGATTGTGTCATTGACATAATGCAGGTTGTTGATGAGTCTTCCCTCAAGCCTGATGCCACAATCCTCCTCATAGAGCCTCATTTTCCTCAATGTTAATCATAGTGTATCACGATCCACGCAGTCAAATGCCTTTGCATGGTCAATAAAGGACAAATAGACATTCTTCTTATTTTCTCTGCTTTCTGCTAAGATTCACCTGACATCAGCAATTCTAGGCCTGGTTCCACGGCCTCTTCTAATCACCAAGGTTCTTTGATATGAAGTTTAGTTGGAGTCAATTTCTTCCTCTATACAATAAGACATGATGAGAAGTATTGCTAATCCATGAGTGGTATGATTGGTTAAGCACTCAGCTATTAACCAAATGGTCTGAAGTTTGAACCCACCCAGAGGCCTCTCAGGAGAGAGACCTAGCAATCTAACAATCTAATTTCCAAAGAGAAAAGCTTTAAAAGCTTATGGAGAATGTTTCTTCTGTGACACACATCGAGTTGCCCAGAGCTGGAAGTGGCTCAATGGCGATTGGTTAGATTTAGCTTCTGCAGCATCTGTACAACTTCTTCACATGCTAAGCCTGGTGGTCAGCAGAGTACTGTTAGCCTTGTAACGGTGAGGGGGAGGGGGCTTGAAGAAACCACCAAACTTCATCCTCTCCAGTTTCGTAAGATACTCCAGTTGATTTGAGGTGGGGACATAGCATATAACACAAAGTGTTATGAGTTATATAGTTGACTCAACGGTACGTAACAACAACAACAACAACAACAACAACAACTGTGTATATAAAGAATTCTTACTACTCAGTGAAAAAAAGAGCAAAGGAAATGAAAACACAGACACCGCCCCCGCCCCAATGCTGCATGAAGGAAGATATACAAGTGATAAAGCGAGGTTGAGGGTGGGGGAAGCCCAATCTTGTTCCTAAATAAATGAGTGAAAATTGAAACGAGAATTCTTTTTAAATCACCTATCAAAGTTGGAGAATGTAAAAAAAGAGATGGGAAGAGAATCAGCCTTCCTAGCTGGAAGAAAAGTGTTTCTTGGCTCTGCACACAGTGTTACTGACCCTGTTCTTCTGAAGGGCAACTGTTCAATCTGCATTGAAATCTTGAAAAAAAAAACACAAACCCTTAAACCATTTGACCCAATGATTTCCCTTTAGAAGTATGGCCTAGAGAAATGGAGACACACACAAAGTTTGCAAGGAAGTTCATCACATGCTCTATTTCGTAAAAGAATGGGGGAAAGGAGAAGCCTCTCTTCTTCCAGTGCTGAGGGACTGAGTAAAAATAAAAATGGTGTCACTGAATTGTACTTGTGAAAAAACAAAGAAGTGGCACAACCTGTGTTCCATGTGCTCATCTGCACAGTGAAGGCACTGGGAGCGTGTGAATGTGCTCATTACCGAGGCAAGTCCTTTGGAGTTGTGCAAGGCACTGGCCCTGGCTTACTCGGTAGCTAATCTTTAACTTTTCCTATAAAATGGGACAATGACATCTTCCATCAGCTCCAAGCTCATCCAAGGACCCACAACGAGGTGGAAAGTGGAAAGGCCTTGGGGTCTGAAGTCATGCGCACAGCCCATAGTTGGGCTGTGCTTATGCTCCAACCCATTTCTTTCTCCCTAGGACTTTCTTACCTGAGAAGGAGGAGAGCCTGATACTTCTCAGATGCTCCCAGTGGTGCCTGCCGTTAGTTCTGCCATCCTTGATTTGAGCTTTTTATACTGAACTTTCCTTGACTGGGTCCTGGACTACGGTGAGATGCAGAAGGTGTGAGGATGAGTTCTGCTTCTACTCAGGACCACCTGTGCCAGGTAACCACCTTTACTGCAAATGGGAAGTCAATAGAGACCAAACTGTGTAACCAATGGGTTTCTTATCTGGGCAGAGAGCTGAGAGCAGGGGTTCTGGGTTAATGTGGAGACAGCACGTGGCTCAGGGCTACTGATCCAGCTCTGCTTATCCTCGTCACCACTGTGCTCTGAGGACTCCCCTCTGCCTTTGGGAAACCATTACTGAGTCCAAACAGTTACTCCGAATGGGGTTGTTTGGTCAGCTAGTAGCAACGATGCTAACTTAAATACCCCAGCATCCACCAACAGAGATGCATAACGCACAGAGTGACCAAGGATCCTCCAGGAGGAGGGCTTGGGGGGTCGTGAGTGTGCAGGGCCACTTTGAGGCTCAAGGTATCGCTTGCCACTCGGGAATGCACTTGAGAGTGAAATCAATTTGGTCTGGGGAAGGGGATTTCATTTCTCTTGAGTACTACTGTAATGTCAAGCAATTTGGAGGGCTGTAATAGAATGAGGGTTAGTTTGAATGGGATTTTTATTTGCATGCCCATCACTTGATGATAAAAATTTGCTTAAGATTCACTCTTGAGATACTCTTGGAGCATTGAAGTGCTGTTTTTTTTTTAAAAAATTAATTTCAATGAAAATTTATAGAGACTTTGGATTTCCATTCCTTCATTGTTGCACTTTTCTCTCCTCCCAACCCTCCCTCCAAGTACACTCCCTTCTTGGAAAAGTAAAAGAAAAATTCTTTCATTGTTATACAATCCCTCCCCACCAGGTCCACTCCACTATGCAGCCTTCGCTCTACACTCCTGTCATGACAGAAATACCTATTCACATAGCCCTTTTAAACAGTTTTCTCCCGCATCTGTTTCAATGCAGTATACATTATTTAACCCATCTTTCTTAGTCTCCCCCCAACCCCAATGTCAGTCCTGTTTTACAACAGTGGCACCATGCATTATTTGTCCTTTTGTGACTGAGATACTTCACTCAGCATAATGTCCTCCAGAGTCACCCATTTTGAAAAATATTGCATGAGTTCCTTGTTTTTCAATGAGAAGAGCTGTTTTTATTAACACAATCTCCTGGGTATAGGATACTGGTTTTCTCTCATGAATAAGTGCTGTGGACAGTCATGTCCCTGTGGACTGTGAGGGGGTGGGGTGTTGACCAGGTGACACTATAGGGAGAGAGATGCTAACATGACGGTCTAGAAGGCATTTGTGCTTTATCTCAGCAGAAATTTGGAATTATCTTAAATAAAATGACCCCTGCAATTAGAATGAGTACAGCTTCCCCATAAGTCTACTTACATGAATAACTATATCTACAAAGCGAAAATGCTGTTAACTTTCTCTTTAAATCTTCTAAAGTGCATGGATCAAGACAGTCTTATTATTCAAACACGGTGACACTTAGAATCACATGATTTTGTCTCCATACACTACAGGCATATACCCTTGTTTTCATTATTGCTGATATTTTTTATAGTTTCTGGCATTAGAAAATGTTCTGGTGTTTTAGCTACAGTATTTGTGAGCCTGCATCGATAACTTCTTGGAGGAGGAAGCGGTACGTAAAAGGAAAGAAAAGAAAACTCAAACCATCTTGTAACGCAGAACACTGTAATTCAGTATAAAGCAATTTTACAAGAGAACATTGATGGCAGGTGCTGGTGAGCTGGTGACAGCTGATGGAGAAATTAGGAACTACAGATCTGAACCCTGGCTTGGCCCGTGCCATCCTCCTGCTTCCTCACGTTCATGCCCACTGTTGCACTCACTGCATTTGTCCACCTCACAGAGGGTCTCTCTTTCTAGACTCTCTGTATTTCCCAGCACGATGGCTTTTTTAAAAAAATTATTATTAAATTTCATTAGTTTTAATGAACATTTACAGAGAGTTTGGGTTTTCATTCATTCATTGTTGCACTGCTTTCTCTACCCTCCTCCCCAGTTCGTTCTCCCCCACCCCGAATGTCTGTTTTAATTGTCCCATTGCCACAGTGCTTGTCAAAGCCAGTTCTGATTAATCTCCTTTGTCAGTGTGTCCCTTGCCATTCCCTATCACTCCTCCCTGAGAGAGACTTCACCCTGAGTCATAAGGAAAAGGGGATGGCGTATTCTCTTAGCTACTCCCTGCTGAAAAGGGACGCTGTGGGTTTCAGGGTGAAGATCTTCTCTCACTACTCTAAAGGGCCCCTTTGACAATAGGAAACACATAGGCTATTATGGAGATTGATTTTGGAATTTAGATGCATTGTTATCAGTTGTGCTTAGCCGTACATGTTCATATCCTTGAAGATGTATCACGGAAGTGTTGCAACCTAGAAGACACAAATTTAACTAACAAGTTGAAAGTAAGGGCTGGCCCCTCTTGACAAGAGTAGAGGGTGACTCTTGCTGACTGCCTCCTTTCTCCTTCCACTACATGGGCAGTGGGTGATGTGTGTTTGTCTCAAGGCCAGTAGAGTAGAACAGGGAAAATAATAGTTTTGAAATGACTAGAAAGTGTGGGAAAATTTCTGAAAATTTTTGCTTTTTAGCCTCAAATATTGGTGTTTCTATTGGTTTCCCTTCCCGAGTGTTTTTCTGGATCTCTGGTGTGCAGGACGGGGAGCTGTAAACACATCTCATTTGTGGTACGTTTTGCCCCACGGAGTGCTGGTTGCAGAGCTACCTTTTCTGGGTAAATGCTCAGTCTTGCTCCAGGTTACCAAGACCATATGTAATAAATGTTGTTTTCCCCCTCCAGTCACATTTTTTTTATCAATTTTAATGAAAATTTACAGAGACTTAGGGTTTCCAGTCATTCATTGTTGCACTTTTCACCGTGCCCACCCCCTCCCCCCAATTCATTCTTCTTGAAAAGAAAAAAGAAAAACTCTTTTATTGTTATGCAATCCCTCCCCCCAAGTCCACTCCAATATGCAGCCATCACTCTGGACTTCCTTAATGACAAGAATACCCATTTATATGTCCCTTTTAAACAGTTCTCTCCCTCATCTGTTTCAATGCAGTATACATCATTCCTCCCCTCCTTCTCTGTCTTCCCTCAACCCTGATGTCAGTCCCATTTTTATCACTGACCCTATGCAATATTTGTCTTTTGTGACTGGGATATTTCACTCTTGGCAAAACCTGAAATTGTGTCATTATTAGAGAATAACATAGTCTAGTGATGTTTTTACAACCTAAGGTTATGAACCCTAGCTGAAATCCTCTTTCGCTCCAATTTGCCCATTTTCATGATCTGTGTGTCTTCTCACTTGGTTACAGAAAGCCATCTGAAGAGCCTCACCTACGTGTCCTCATGGAGGGGTCAAACGGCACATCGCTTGGCGCGGAGGAGTTCACGAACACCTTCAGGGGCTGGAACGCCTCCACGCCGAGGGAAATTCCCATCGTGCACTGGGTCATCATGAGCATCTCCCCGCTGGGCTTTGTGGAAAACAGCTTTCTCCTCTGGTTCCTGTGCTTCCGGATGAGAAGAAACCCCTTTACGGTCTACATCACCCACTTGTCTATTGCAGACATATCGTTGCTCTTCTGTATTTTCATTCTGTCTATCGACTATGCCCTTGACTACGAGCTCTCCTCTGGCTATTACTACACAATCATCTCTTTGTCGGTGACTTTTCTGTTTGGCTACAACACAGGCCTTTACCTCCTGACAGCTATCAGTGTGGAGAGGTGTCTGTCAGTCCTGTATCCCCTTTGGTATCGATGCCAGCGCCCCAAACACCAGTCAGCATTCGTCTGTGCCCTCCTGTGGGCTCTTTCTTGCCTAGTAACCCTCATGGAGTATGCCATGTGTATCGACAGTAGAGGACAGGGCCAGTCTCGGGGCGACTGTCGTGCGGTCATTATCTTCATTGCTGTTCTGAGCTTCCTGGTCTTCACCCCACTCATGGTGGTGTCCAGCACCATCCTGGTGGTTAAGATCAGAAAGAACACGTGGACTTCCCACTCTTCCAAGCTTTACCTGGTCATCATGGTCTCCATCATCATCTTCCTCATTTTCGCCATGCCCATGAGGCTGCTTTACCTGCTCTACTATGAGTACTGGCCGACGTCTGGGAACCTCCACCACATTTCTCTGCTCTTCTCCACCATCAACAGCAGCACTAACCCTTTAATTTACTTCTTTGTGGGTAGCAGTAAGAAGAAGCGGTTCAAGGAGTCCTTAAAGGTGGTTCTCACCCGGGCTTTCAAAGATGAGGTGCAGGCCCGGCGCCAGGAAGACCGTGGTAATGCCATTACCATGGAGACTGCCGTCTGAGAGCTGCACGGGAAAAGGAAGAACACACAGCAACATGCAGGTGATTTGTAACTTGTGATCAGTATTTCCTAACTTGTAAAATGAGTTCCTGGAAAACGCAAATGGCTAATGCACTTGATTACTAACTGGAAAGTTGGAAGTTCAAGACCATCTAGAAGGAAATGGGAGGAAAAGCCCAGAGAACTATTTCCAAACCGCGGCTGTTGAGAATCCTGCTGACGGTTGGTTCCACACTCACACACAAGGTTCTGTGTGACTCAAACTCATGGTAACTGGCTTACTGGCTTAAGTCTGAGTCACAAGGACACCTGTTGCATGACAACAGAGGCTAACTAATGAAGAAACTGCATTCTCCACTGTTGTTGTTGTTGTTATGTGCCATTGAGTGGCTTGCGACTCATAGCGACCCTCTGTACAACAGCCCTAAACTCTGCTCTGTCCTGTGCCAATCACACTGTCTCCGACACACCCATCCCAATTACCCCAGTCACTGAATCAATCCACCTCATAGAGGGTCTTCCCCTCCTGCGCTGTTCCTCCACCCTCCCAAGCATGATGTCTTTCTCCAAGGACTGGTCCCTCCTTACAACATGTCCAAAGTATGTCAGAAGAAGCCCCAGAATCCTTGCCTCCAAGGAGAAGCCCGGTTTAACCCTTTCAAGGATGAACCTGTTTGTTTTCTTAGCAGTCCATGGTACACTCAATACTCTTTTCCAGAACCACAGCTCAAAGACATCAATTCTACTTCTATCCTCTTTAGTCATTGTCCAACTCTCTGATGCATAACAAGTGATTGCAAATACCATGGCCTGTATCAGGCACACCTTAGTCTCCAAAGTTACACCATTGCTCTTCAGTACCTGGAGAGGTCCCTAACAGCAGACTTTCCCATTGCAATACGTCTTATTTTCCTGGCTGCTGGTGCCAAGAGTGTTGACTGTGGAGCCAAGCAAACTGAAGTTGTGAACAATCTCAATCTCTTCACCATCCATCCTGATGCTGCCAATTGGTCCAGTGGTGAGAATCTTTATCTTCTTGAAATTGAGCCTCAATCCATATTGAAGGCTGCAGTCCTTGACCCTCAACAGCAAGCGCTTCAGGTCCTCCTCAGTTTCGTCAGGGTTCTAGCCTTTCTGTACCAACCAAGAATCTCAATTCCTCCTCAGCTAAATTGGAAAAATCTACCATGGATAGTGGTAATTACTTTAGCAGTAAGATGTGAAGATGCGAGAAAGACAAAGATAGTTTTGATTCTTTTGGAAATGTGAGGAAGTCAAGCAATGGAGTAGAAGTTCAAGGATATTGGAATCAAACGACTCTGTCATTTATCTCCTGTGTAACCCCAGAAAAGTGATTTTACCTCTGGAGATTTCCATCTTCTCGTCTGTAAATTGGCCACAATCATAGCTCTTCTCTCTCAGTGTTCTCTGACAGTGACATGAGTAAGGTACGCATCAGGAATGTCCTTAGTGTTCAATAAATGTTAGTCTTGCCCCACCATGTAAGGGGAACAGAAATACACACTTGTGTGTGAAAGCAAAAGGGCACACACCCCAACACACACACACACACACACACACACACACACACACACCCTCTATCACGCACATAGTATGTGTTCCTTGATGCTACACATGAATGTACAAAGTCTCGTTTTCTTGCCTATAGTATGAAAGCTGGCCATTGGCTTTAGCACCTGTTGGAAACATATGCAGATGCTGAAGGACATTAGGCTTGGAAAAGTAGAAGGTCAGTGAAAAGGCAGAAGACCCGCACACGATGGACCGGCAGAGTGAGCACAGCGGAGATTGTGAGGGGAGGACAGGATGGGGCGAGGTTTTGTTCTCATGTACATAGAGTCACTATGAGCTGATGTTGCTTAGATGACACTTAACAACAACTTCCCACCCAACCAGTCTGTGTTGGAGCATAAGTGTGGGTGTCTGTGGAAGCTGCTTGGCCACCAAGGAGGTGTGCCTCACAGCTCTTCACTTGGTGGGAATGGCAGCCGTGGGAAGCCTGCCTTCATGCTGTCTGGGGGCCATGCACGCTCCTAAGTGGAACTGAATTGACATGCTCACCCCACGACGAGGTTGGTTACTTCCAGGAACAGCTTACCTCCTCTGGCCACATGCTGGCCTCTGTCTGTGCTTCCTCTCCTGGCGAAGAATTTCTTTGTGTCGCTTCTAGAAGGAGAGTCGTGGTGGAGGGTGATGACAGGGCCACATTAAGATGGGCCACGTCTTGAGGCTGACCCTTGTCCACTGATCTTGTACTGGCACGCACGCTGAAGTGGGCCTGCCTTTCCAACACCTGTCCTAGGTTTGCAGTCTGCAATCTCTCTTGTCCTGTCAACCATGCTGCTGGGTTTCCTTTCCGCCTGTCCTTCCCAGCAGTCTCACCATAATGACAATGTCACACGTGGCTCTACGGTCAGTGACACGTTGATGTCCTCACACAAGCCCATCTGGTGTTTCTCTGAACTCTTTGTCTCTCAAAGGGTCAGAGGAAGAGTGATGAAACGCCTGCTTCTTCGACTCTCTTCCTTCCTTGAGGGATACAGGTGACTGCATCTGTGGGCCCCTTAACTGAGGTGAGGATGAGGCACAAGTGAGCGCCTCCCTCTGGGCCAGGCCCCACTGCCAGCCACGCTGGGAGTCAAGAGACTTTCAGATCTTGACATCATCTAATTCAGAAGCAAGGCAGCCTGCCTCCTCAATCTGGATGGGGTGAAGCACAATGGCGTTTAGAATGGCTTGTTTCTGACGGCGAACAGAACGTCTCCACGGGTCAAGACAGTGATCAGTGACAGGTTCACATCAGCTTTTTCCTGTTTACAAGCCTCACAAAGAGCCTGATGTTACCTTGAAAAAGGATCAAGATCAAGTGAGTCATTTTTGATCTTGAAGAAAGACCTACAGACTATTACAATCAAGAAATTTCTACCCATGGAAAACGTGATGAACTCGTGGGAAGCAGAAAGGTGGAGACATGGAATGTGATTAGGAGCAGACGCTTTCTTCTAGCCATTAAGGGCTAATGCCCGCTGAGAGGCTGGCTTCTGAGTTAGGCAATGCAGCTAACACAAACCCTCATCTCACTTCCCTGGAATCGCATCGCCAAGAATGAGTGATAAGCTTGCAAGCAAGAAGGTGTAAGTGGCTTTGCAAAGAAGGCTGGGTAGTTTGTTCCTCTTGGGCATTTGGACACTTTGTCTGAGTTACTAGTTGCCATTTCTGATCACTCCCTGGGAATGGGAAGAAGATAGTCCTGATAGGGCATCTGTTCTCAATGAAGGAGAAGAAGAGTTTGTCCAGTTCATGTGAGGGTGGCCCCTCTTCTCTGTCACACACGTAACCATAACAGCAAGCTGTGAACAAATTCACGGGGGTAGTGTGTGCTCAGCAGAGATGCTGCCACCGAAGAGGAAGTGCTGAACTTAACATGTGGGGTTAAAAAGCAGCATCTCAGGGAGGTGGTCATGTGGCTGCCTGACAGCATGTAGGATTTCCAGAGACCCAGATGGGAGGGGCAGAGCCCTGATGGCAAACTGGGCACTTGCTGGGGCTGCCAATCAAGAGGTCAGCAGTTTGAACCCACCAGCTGCTCCCATTTGAGTTGAAAGGAAGGCGGTAGGTTGGTTTGGGGGTCGTTGGGTTTTTTTTTTAAGGAAGAAGGGAGGGGGTTCCAGGCAGAGGGAGAATCTGAGAAGAGGCGAAGGTACCAGGAGGAGAGGGAGCCGAATCACTGTGACCGGTGGCATGACCAGGGTGGGTGCCATCCACCGTGACAACGCCCCTCCCATCCCAGACCGCACAGAAACCGCAGCGTGTTTATTATCAACGTTAATAATAGAAAAATGATAGTATAAGAATGACTACGATATAGTTGTAACTTACTTAAACATTATTTTCCTAGCATATATGAATATCTTAGATCACCTGATATATCTTAGGCTATATGAATACTGATAACAAAATTCTTTTGTAAGACCTTTCCACAATGAATTATATTTGAGTTACATAATTAAGGATTGAGTGAAGGCCTATTTTTTTTTAAATCTTTCTCCTTTTCTTCTTTAATTACTACTTCCCTCTCCAAAAAATTACTGAAACAGGTTCACAAATATGACTTACCAAAATTGTTACAGTTAAAACATCAGAATTCTGACCAAAACAGTAACTATTAAGTCACCAGCGGCAGCAATAAAACAGGACAAAGCATGCTTGCAATGTGTGCAGATGAAACCACGCGGCCTGAAGTGTCACTGATATCAGATAATAACAACATCTTTTACCAGCACGTGTTAGGCAGTGGCAAAAGCAGATGACTAGAGAATTTTAGCCTTGGAGGTTTATTAAAATGTATCAGATGGCCTTATAAAAAATGTTTTTGCTATTAAACCAGTTATTGGGATATTTTTATAAAAAAAGAATAAACTTCTGCTGAAACACTAAAATTTTATGGACAGTCATTTTGGGGTCACCTTCTCCCATAGCGATACCTGGTTTGTGTCAAGTCCCCACCCCAATGTCTGCTGAGTGACTTTTTTGGAGCCCAGGTGGTTTTGTTGAACACACCCCCTCTCATCCGCTTGTGTCTGTCTTCCTCTCTGTCCTACATGCTGCAAGTTGGAACAGACCCACGGACCTCCTTTCTACACCCAGGGACCTGTCTTTCCTCATTGCCCAGAGATGGCTGTTCTGACCTCGAATCCTCTCCGTGATCTCCATCTCTGCTTTCATCAAATAACCTCCAACTTCTCTCCCTTGGAACGTGGCCCACAGTGCGGCTCTCTGGGTTGGTTTTTGACACTCCAAAACAGACCCTTTCTGGAAGTGAGCTCTGTGGCCCACTGTCTTGACTGTGGCCTTTTGTCCTCCACATGCCCACTGTAGCCGGGGCCTCCGCACCAAGACGCCTGTTGCCTCTGGCTGGTCATCAAGTTCACCCATCTTTCTCCCTTCCTGACAAACATCCGTGTCTTTACTCCAAGTTGT